ATCTAGCCTGTTACATGCCTATCAATTTAGGACAAAATATTTCTCTAGCACATCTGACTGCACAGGTATAAAGTTTACATTTTCCATGTGTTTAGCAATAACATGTAGCATGATCTTTCTGTTTCCTATCCTTTGTTTTTTTCCTTTCTCAGAATTTCCATGTACTCTGTCATAGAATTTGGCCTGACAATCAAAACCAGACCTCTCAATGTTATAATAGAAAGATAAACTTAACATTTCATAATACCTAATAATAAAATCATGAAAATTATTAATCTACTACAGCAAGATGATTGGGACACTCTGATATATAAAAATACACATAGCTGAAAAAGCATGTGGCATGGCGACCAGCAAGATTTTTTTTTTTTAAGAATATGTATGGACGTAGTTCCTGGTCTTTGCTGAAGACTAAAAGAAACAAAGACCAAGGTTGGAGGCATAGGTTTCTCATAAACATTTATCAATCAAAATGCAATTGGCATGGAAGCAGGCTACATGGCAACATTACATTATTTTGAGAAAATACACTGCTGCAATTAACACCACACAAATATATGACCCTAAAGTTTTTGCAATGATATAATTAGATGCATATACTGTTAAATTAAATATTATTGAGTTCCCACAAACCAACAAGTACTATAGCAGCAATGTTACTTTCAGTGTACATGTACCACTGTACTCCCTATGTACAAGATTCACCGAACACAGTTAATGAGAAACACTACGCTTATGACTAAAGCAATCATCCTTTTCCCAAATACTCAACTTCAATCTGAAAATAACAACTACATAAAAAATATGAACTTTTCAAAAAATACGAAAAAACCCAAAGAAACATTTAATAATCCTTACCTGTGATCCCACCACCACAATCTGAGGGAGCTGTATGGCATCAGCCCCAACCGTATTAAACACATCTTGGAGCTTATTTATAACTGGAATGAGGGCTTCCATTATTCCCGGTTGAATAAATCGAGTTAATAAGTTAAATGTTGAACCGTGAATGTTGTTCCTGCGCGGAGGATCAGCTGTTAGCGGCGCGACCCGAGAGAATTCGCTATGGGAAGAATATTCCTCTTTTGAAATTATTACACTATAGTTTACATATCCGAAGGCCTTATGCATCAGGATTATTTTAAACTTGGTGTAACTTTGTCTTTTTGGCTTAAATCAGGTTCGAAATTGGCAAAGAGGTGTGGTGTATCTTCAAGAGAGGATTTGCGAATGCTATATTCATGATGAAATCCTGTAGATATCACTTTTGCGTCAGATTCCCAGTTATTTCAAGTAGTATCAGCTTATCAGATGCAGAGAACGTTTGTGACAGTTTGATAATCCGTCTCCAGTTCGTAAGCTGTAAAAAACTGTTGAAAGTAATCTAAGAAAAAAAAACGAAATGTATCTGGTAAATGCACTTACCAACTGATGTGTATATATTAAGAATAAAATGAAATATGTTTAAGTGATTCTTTACAATCATTGTTAGCCTTTTGCAAAATGCAAGAAAACAAAAATTGTTTCATATTTCTTATCTTTTGGCTAATAATTTCTAATATTTTAGCTACTAAAAGAAACTATTGTCCTATGAAAATATTTCACATTATTTATTCAAAATTCTAATTCCTAATTGTCTTAAGTTGTTTGCAATGTCACATACAACAATTACAGTATTGCAAAACGATGGGCAGGTCTTCGGCCCATCTCTAGTTTCTCATGAGCAGGATACTTCCTAGGTCGTCCCATGTGCCTCCTCCATCTAGGGTTGTGTCAGGAAGAGACAATCTGGTGGATAGTATTGTCCACTGCAAGGCGAGCTAGATACCTGAAAGCCTGATTCGAAGGTTTTTGGAATGTGCGAGTAACGGGTCTCACGGTGTAACCGTTGGGTACAGGTCAACTGTTACAGAAGGTATCAAGACGAGACTGTGGCACAAATGGCCTCAAGGTATCATTTCCAAAGAATAAAAAATGGCATGATTAGGGCCTAGAAGACGTAGCTTGGCCCTTCTCTATAGGTAATGGCATTTCCAAACACGTCGAGAGTCAAGCCACCTGCCAGGCCAATCCGCCTACTGACTTCCTAGTATGATAGCTCGGAGGCATGGACTACACTAGCAAATATATGAAACTCTGTGTGACGTCAGTAATTTAAAAATCAGTGACTCTGATATAAGCCACAATGACAGGATAGTAGTTCTGCCCAGTCTCAGTTCTACACAAGTGTTGAAAAGTCCTGCCTCGTTACTGAATCCACGGGGCAGAAGCTAGACAGGTGATCGCCAACACACTTGATGGCCCTTTAACAGCAGCTGCAGACTGACAAGAAGCCCGCGACCCGCGACCGAACTCAACGACGGCGCTCAACAGCGACTCGAAGCACGGCTACATGCATTTACACCCAAGGTCTATACACGTATTTATATAGACCTTGTTTACATCCATGTTTATTATAGCCATAGGAAAGGGGGAGCAGAGAGAATGATCCATGTTTATT